AATATAAAAGATGATTATAAGAATATCTATTAGATAATTAGATTATTGTAATATGAAAATAAATATTGTATAAAAAACTGATATAAATATTGTATATTATCTATTTAACACACTAAAATTTATATTTTTCTTTAAAATTTAATAACGTGACATACTATTGCAAAATTCATGATGATTATTTGTTACTTCAATCTTCACGCATTGACAACATTACCATGCAATATGTGAGTGATACTTTCATTATCTTCAAAAAACGTTACATATTATTTTGATGTAGTATGCGCAATAAAGATGTTTTAACGTAATGACACATAAAATATATAAAGATCATACATCACAGATTATTTTAGAATCTGTAGGAATTTATTTTGTCGGATTTTCATGATGTTTTGAAAACTATTAATTATTGTCATATTTTTTTATCTTAATACATAAATATTATGATATACATGAATGGTCGGTACGATCTAGTTTTTCTGTTTTCAGAAATGTAAGAATTTTCAGAAATGTAAGAATTAGAAAGATATAAAATTAGCTCGTAATATTACCACAGTGAAGTTTTCTAGATTCATCACGAAGGACTTCGCCACCTTTATTTCATCTGATTCCTTACAATTAGTATTAAGAGCATCTTTTTCGCCGTGTTCTCATACCACGCTCCATTATATCTGAAAGTTTAGGTTTATATAAATGAAAATAAATGAAGATAAAATTTGTAATGACTTACGCAGAAATGTACACATCGATATTATGATCCGTTTGCTGGCCCTGCTAACCATAAAAAAAAAGGCAGTTTGGCAAACCAGTGCAATATATATTATAATTTCGACTGTCTTATTCATTTAAAGTATATTCTGCGATATAACATCAGATATTATCCTTATAGATTAGATTGGAATTTTTATTTTGATTTTAAAATTATTTATATTAATTTTAGAATTTTACATCGTGCATAAACAGTGCATCACGAAGCAGACCTAGACCAATCTAAAAAAATAGATATATCGCGAACGTACTGTTGATTAGATCTATAAACCTTAAATTAATATAATTTTGTATTAACTTCTTAATTTTAATATAACACTTTTAATATAACACTTTTGAATTCTAATATTTATACTAACGCTTTTATTTTTATGTGCAGGAGGATACATTGAATCAAATGCTGGACAATGTTATTTTGCTTCGAAGAAAAATCGTGAGCTTCTTGCTTTGACTGATCTTGGACTATATTCTTCAAATGGTAACTATCTCAGACAACACACAATATTTATAAAACAATTTACAAAATCTTTGTAAGATTTATCTTTAATATTTTGTAAATGGTATATTAATTATATTATTTATATTAATTATAT